CTATATTGAGAACTCATAGCAACCCTATAGTTATGTGCCTATATTTTCTATTAATATTTTAAAGTTTTCCTCTTGACATTTGAATCTTTACTCTCCCCAGAGTAGATTTTTTTGTATACGGCATGAGATAGGGATTTAATTTTTTCTATAAGAAAAAACCGTTTTTAGTTCCATTTACTAAATAGTCTCTCCTTTCCTCACCAATCTATTTTGACACTTCTGTCATATATCAAAGTTCCATATATATGTGGTGCTATTCCTAGACTCGCCATTCCATTGGGCACTTTGTCTATCCCCAAGATGGGACCAAACTTTCTCAACTGCTGTAGTTCCATTATAAGTCCTGATAGCAGGTAAAGAAAGTCCCTCCCCCATTTACTCTTCTTTAAAGTGATTTTGCTATTCTTGGTCCTTTACACTTCCATATAAATTTTACAACCAGCTTGTTAAGTTTCACTAAAATCCCCTTGGAATTTTAATTGGAGTGGCATAAATGTAAAGATTTATATAAAAATATTTTGTAAGGATTTATCTCCAGTGGAAATTACATTTATTTCTTTTTTTGTTTTATGAGCTACAATATTTGTCCTGTCCACACGATGGCACTACAAACTGAAAAATCAGATTCATGATGATTTTTCACAGTTGGAAAGGATACACCCTAACATATACAGTGTTAGAATTTTATTAAATGCCTGCATATTTTGGAGGGTAGAACTGAATTTCATGTAGAAAGTTCAATAGTCTACCAAATAATTAAGTATATTTGGTAAACATATATACAATAGTATATGATAATCAAAGAAATAATAATTGAAATAATAATAAAAACAATGACGACACTCTATTCTTTACAATTATTTTACCTTGTTAGTTGCCAGCGAGTTGATTCTGACTCATGGTGACCCCATGAATGCTAAGTAGAACTGCTTCACAGAGTTTTCAAGTCTGAGACCTTTCAGAGGCAGAATGCTAGACTTGTCTTCCAAGGTGCCTCTGGGTGAGTTCAAACCACCAACCTTTCAGTTAGTAGTCCAGTGTGTAACCATTTTCTACACCCAGGGACTCATATTTTAGAGAATCATAAAGAAATATCATAAAGAAGCTCACTATTTACCAATAAAATAAAGGCCAAGTGTAAAACTAGGTCTGGACGTTAAGGGAGAAGCCCTGAGAGACCAGTGGTTAAACGCTCAACTGCTAACTGAAAAGGTTGGCAGTTTGAGCCCAGCAGGCACTGTGTGGGAGAAATAATGTGGCAGTCTGCTTCTTTGAAGATTTACAGCCTTGGAAACCCTATGGGGCAGTTGTACCCTGTCCTCTAGGGTCACTATGAATTGAAATTGACTCAACGGCAATGGGTTTGGCAATGGGTTTGGACATTAAGGTACCCTGTGGCCGCTGAGCGGCCCTGTAAGACGGAGTAGAACTGCCTTATAGGGTTTCCGAGGCTGTAATCTTTACAAAAACAGACTGCCACATCTTCTTCCTGCGGGGCAGCTGGTGCGTTTGAACCCGAGTTTGAGCTTTCGGTTAGCAGCTAAGTGCTTAACTATTGTACCACCAGGGGTTCTTGGACATTAAGGTAGTACTTTCCAAATTGGCAAGCCAACTACAGGCTAATGATTAGGTTTGCATAAATCTAGGGAGCAAAGGTCATGCCCAGGTTCATAAATAAAGAAAAGGGTTGTGTAATTCTTCCTTTCCACACCCTAGTCCCACCCCTTATTCCAGTCCTGATAATCTTGGGAATAAAGAAGCATGTCTGGGCTTGCCCTGAACTCATTAAAGAAAAATGAAAAAGGGGAGAGGAAAGACTTTCCCTATCTACTTTGTAATGCCAATGAGGCCTCACTTCTGTGTTAAGCTGTAAATATTTGAGACAGAATATTTTTGTAAATGTTCATCTAACCGATACTATACATATGGAAACTTGATAGTAGACTGGAGTAAATCCTTTTTCTAAACTCCTTCCAAGGCATTATTAATCTGGTCTTTTAAATGGCTCTGGAACTCGGTATCAACAAACTATTTACCACATCTGGTTAACTTAGATAAAAAGATTTAAGTATGCTGCTAATTAACATGACTCTAACTTGGATGATCTACCAAAATACATACAGTCACGTGTCACTTAACTTCTATGATACGTTATGTGATTTGGACGCTGTATGAACACCACGTTATACACAGGCAGTCCCCGGGTTACCAACGTCTGATTTATGTGGTACAGTGCTTATGAACCAATCCCCATTAAGCCTATTATATTAAAAATTCGAGGTATATACAATGGTTCATAATAACAAACGGGCGCGACTTTGCAACACACATCAAAACATTATTATTATTACTGTATTATTATGTTAAAGATGTTTTAGTGTACCTAGAAGCGTTTTTTACTGTGTTGCATGCAGGAAGCTATTGTGTTTGCTACCTCTGGTTACATCAAATAGGGATTTCTGAACTCTATTACAACCTTATCAGACAAGAGACAATGTGCGGTCAGATGTTGCCCAACCCTATAGGACAGAGTAGAGGGGCCCCATAGAGTTTCCTAAGCTGAAATCTTTCTGGGAGCAGATCACCAGGTCTTTTTTCCCACAGATCACCTGGTGAGTTTGAACCTCCAAACTTTTGGTTAGCAGCTGAGCACTTAACCATTGTGCCACCAGGTCTCCTTGCCTTGCACATAAGTGCTCAATAAATGCTACACTATTGTTATTACAGCAAAAAAGAAAAAAAAAAAAAACAGCTTTCCTAGGTTAGTAAAAGAAGCCCTGGTGGCACAATGGTTAAGTTCTTGGCTGCTAACTGAAAGGTCAAAGATGTGAACCCATCAGTCAATCTGTGGGAGAAGAGACCTGGCAATCTGCTACCGCAATATAGTCTAGGAAACCCTGTGGAGACAGTGCTACTCTGTCTATAGGATCACTATGAGTTGGAATCTACTTGAAGGCACACAACTGAACAGGAGAATCTGGAAACAGGAGACCAAGCCATTGTTACAGCTCACTTGCCTATGCTACTCCCTTCATCCTACCAACTCCCTCTCCAGAAAGCCTTGGGTTCACTCTTTCAGCATAAAGGGAAGCTACATGATAAACAGAGAAAATAATGAAGTTGTTAAGGATTTCATTTTACTTTAATGAACAATCAATACCCATGAAAGCAGCAATCAAAAAATCAAATGACATATTGCATTGGGCAAATCTGCTGTAAAACACCTCTTTAAAATCTTAAAAAGCAAGGATGTCACTTTGATGACTAAGCTGTGGTGTGACCCAAGCCATAGTCTTTTCAATTGTCTCATATGCATGCGAAAGCTGGACAATAAAAAAGGAAGATGGAAAAAGAACTCACATATTTGAATTATGGCGTTGGTGAAGAATATTGACTATCCTGTGCATAGAGGTTAAGAGTTCGGCTGCTAACCAAAACGTCGGCAGTTCAAATTCACCTGGCTCTCCTTGGAAACCCTATGGGCCAGTTCTACTCTGTCCTATACAGTTGCTATGAGTAGGAATCGACTCGATGGCAATGGGGTATGGGCTGCCTGAAAAACAAACAAATCTGTCTTGGCAGAAGTACAGCCAGAACGCTTTTTAGAAACAAGGATGGTGAGACTTTGTCTCGCTTACTTTCGACAAGTTATTAGGAGGGACCAATCCCTGGAGAAGGACATCATTCCTGGCAAAATAGAAGGTCACTGAAAAAGAGGAATACCATCAACAAGATGCATTTACACACTGGCTGCAGCAATACGTTCGAAGATAGCAATGATTGTAAGGATAGTGCAGGACCAGGCAACATTTTGTTCTCTTATACGCAGGGTCGCTCCGAGTCAGAGCCAGCTAGATAGCATCTAACAACAATAACAACACATGCCTTAAATATTCCCTGGAAGGTGCAAAGGATAACTGCCCCTCTACCAGCTGAAAAGTTTGGCAGTTGGAACTTAACCCAGAGACGCCTCAGAAGACAGGCCTGGAGATCTGCTTCGGAAATGTCACAGCTTTGAAAACCCTATGGAGCAGTTCTACTCTGCGCACATGGGGTCGCCAGGAGTTGGAATCGAATCCATGGCAACCCACAACAACATGGCTTAATGAGCCATTTGAACAACACACTCTGAGTAACCAATTCTAAATAACGAGTGATAGATGATTTTGATGGCAAAACCATAATTAGCACCAAGAGCGCTTTTAACATCACTACCCTTCAAAGAAATCCCACATTGTCATTAACTACTGCCCACTCAGAACCGCTAACAGAACTTCTGGAACATTCCACGAGGTGGCGCCCTTGCCTTCCAGTCTGTGGACAACCTGAAGTGGAAGCGTTCGCTGGGTGCCAGCCTCCCTCGCCAAGGTTAAGTGCAAGCCCTGACCTCCAACGGAGGCCTGCTCTTGGGGAAAAGCAGATGCCTCGGACCTCAAACTCGACCCAGCCACGGTCAGCTGATCGGCCTCCAAGACCCGTGTCTGCGAGCCACAGTCCGCCTCATTCAAAAGGGGCGGTAAGCTCGGAACACCCTGCCCTAAGAACATTTCCTTTCACCAGGCATGGTGTTTTCCTCAGTGCCTCCAATTAGACGGGAGCTAGTTCCGTAGAGGCCCATGGGCAGAAGCCGCCGACGGGCGGCGGTGCGGCGGGTGGCAGCCCCAAAGGCCAGGGTGAGGCCTCGGCGTGCCTGTGTAATGGACTCCGGTACACTCACACCTTCACATGAGAGGCGTCAGGTCGTGGGGCTGTCAGGAAGGACCTGTGTGGGGGCGGGGACCTGAGCTAAAGTGTCCGAAAGGGCAGAGAGGAGGGGGCGGGCCGAGGGAAGAGCGGGGCCAGGCGTCGGCCTGGTTTTCTATTTTAAACGTCAAAGCTCGGAGCATTCGAAGAATGAGGTGGCAGTCTCGGGGACGGCCGGGCACTTTGGCGGCCCTCTCTGTCACGGCGAGAGCTCCCCGCAGCCAGCTTCCTAGCCTCTCCCGCCAGCTCAGCAGCCAGCTCCGAAGCGTGGCCTCAGCTGCGGGTCCCAACCTGGGGTTCGGCCTCGCGCGCTCCGGTGACTGGTGGGCGGGGCGTGTCCGTGACGTCTCATCGCTTTTCGAGTCTCCGCCCCCTTCCCGACCCAGATATAAGACTTCGCCGAGCGTTCTCACTCTCACGAGTGGACGAGGGTTTGAGGAGCAGGTTGTCGTTGTTGGGGGGGGGGTTCGAGAGCTGGGACAAGTTCGGACGTGTGTCCGCGCCTCGGAGTGGCAGCGGGCAGTGTCGGGCAGCGAGGCAACAAGGCGGCAATGGAGCTCTTGCGGACTATCACCTACCAGCCGGCCGCCAGCACCAAGATGTGCGAGCAGGCGCTCGGCAAGGCTTGCGGAGGGGACTCGAAGAAGAAACGGCAGCAGCAGCACCCCGAGGAGCCGCAGGCGCTGCAGCCCTCGCTGCAGGTGCAGCCGGCGGCCCCGCACCACCATCACCACCACTCGCACTCGGGGACCGAGATCTCGCGGATTATCGTCGACCCCACGACGGGGAAGCGCTACTGCCGGGGCAAAGTGCTGGGCAAGGTGACGAGCGGCGGGCAGCCGGCTGGCAGGCGGAGGGAGGTCTGCCCGGGCGAGTCCCCAGCAGCCCTGGACTCTGAGCCCCCGCCCCAGCCGCCTCTCGGCTTCTCTGGGTCCGGTCCGGGCGCGACGGGGACCCCTCACCTGCCGTCCTCTGGCTTTTGTGCGCTGACAGCGCTGGGGATCTGCTTTACGTACATCCTTACCACTGCTTCCCGCAGCCCCAAGAAACTGATCTTGAATCCACAAACGAGGGCCGTGTACACCAGACGGAGCCCCCTCTACCTCCCCAGAGAATTGACTTTCTTGACAAATCTCTTCAGACACAATTTTTTCATCTTTTTCCCCTCCCCCGTAAAGCTACCCTTTGTCAAAGGAGATGAGAAACTATTTTAACTACTGTTTTCAGGAATGCTATCTATCTCATGAAGGGGCTTTTATAAACCGGACTACACTCCCTTTTCCCACCCTTCCTCCCCCATAGGTTTTCGTTTTTAAAAAAATTATTTGCCATCCATTTTTCTGCCATACTTAATTCTGTCTCGGCTTTGTTTCCTTTCAGGGTGGCTTTGCAAAATGCTATGAGATGACAGATTTGACAAACAACAAAGTGTATGCTGCAAAAATTATTCCTCACAGCAGAGTAGCCAAACCTCATCAAAGGGAAAAGGTGTGTATGACTGTTGAGTAAAGTATTTTCTTTGTGTGCAGGGATGGCCCTTCCCTGTTAGGAAAATGTCTTCTGTATGTGTAAGCACTGGCCCTTCAGGGGTGGCGGAAGGCTAATATGCCTTATCTTGCTTTTTTTCTTTCAGATTGACAAAGAAATAGAGCTTCACAGGATTCTTCACCATAAGCATGTGGTGCAGTTTTATCACTACTTTGAGGACAAAGAAAACATTTACATTCTCTTGGAGTACTGCAGCAGAAGGGTAAGTGTTAATTCCAACTGGAGTACATTTACTTCCCTAAAGCTGACATGGTATTCAAATTCTGTTATAGCTGGGATTTTAGCTACATGGTAATACTGCTGCAACATCAGCTTTCATCACTCATCCTGTAAAGGGAAACTGATTTTAATAACTTTGTTTAACAGCTTCTCTCTTTTTCTTCCTCTCTTCTAGTCCATGGCTCATATCTTGAAAGCAAGAAAGGTGTTGACAGAGCCAGAAGTCCGATACTACCTCAGACAGATTGTGTCTGGACTAAAGTACCTTCATGAACAAGAAATCTTACACAGAGATCTCAAACTAGGTAAGCCCTTTCCCCAAAGGCTGATGTTTATCTTAGAACGAGGTGTTTTTTTCTTTCTCTCTTTTCTACGTATCAGTGTTCTTAATTGGGATCTAACCTATGCAATCTTGCCTTTGAATGGGTGATTTTAATATAACAACTGGCTGCCTGCCTCCTAAGTGAATGTGTGTTTTGATACCTTTTCAAAGGGATTCATGTTTCTTTTTGTCTTCTAGGAAACTTTTTTATCAATGAAGCCATGGAGCTAAAAGTTGGAGACTTTGGTTTGGCAGCCAGGCTGGAACCCTTGGAGCACAGAAGAAGGTAAAAGGCAGAAAAATATATCTTGCTAGGGTTTTGTGGAGAAGAAGATCAAATATGCCCTGATTAGTTTCCAGTTAATGGTTCCAAGAAGGTCTGTTGATACTAAAATCTATAAACACAACAATGTTAATTTAAGGAAGCGTTTGTTCAGTGCCTGCTGTAGGGTTGCTAAGAGTCAGAATCGACGAGCACACAACAACAGCATGGGCTCAGGCAGGGTACCTTATACCTATAAGTTGATAATCAGAGAAATCTGTCTTATGTTTGTATGAAATATATAAAAACGCCATGCTCTCCCTGGTAATCACACTCATCCAGGTTGGTTAAATACACTTTGTCATGTGGGCTCAAAGAATTGTATATCAAAAGCCATTATGAGATCAAATATTTCAAAATAGAAATTCAGCATAGTACTTTTAAGGTTGTATTTCCCATCAAGTCACATCCAGAGAACTAAGTTTAAAAAGTCGAATGGTTCCTAACAAGATCTTGATATTTCATCCTTGCAGAACAATATGTGGTACCCCAAATTACCTCTCTCCTGAAGTTCTCAACAAACAAGGACATGGCTGTGAATCAGACATTTGGGCCTTAGGCTGCGTAATGTAAGTAAAATGCACCAGAATGAATTAATAAGACAATTTGAATTTACATTTTAACACTTGAAAAGATTTGTTTTAGAACTATTACTGAAGAAGTGTTTTTCACACACAGGTATACAATGTTATTAGGAAGACCCCCATTTGAAACTACAAATCTTAAGGAAACATATAGATGTATAAGAGAAGCAAGGTATACAATACCATCTTCCTTGCTAGCTCCTGCAAAGCACTTAATAGCTAGCATGTTGTCCAAAAATCCAGAAGATCGTCCCAGTTTGGATGACATCATTCGACATGACTTTTTTTTGCAGGTTGGTGTGTTATCTTATGTCTTTTTATTACGTGCTATTGATCCCAATTACATAGCAGTATTCTGACAGCCTTTTCTGATATTCCACAGGGCTTCACTCCAGACAGACTTTCATCTAGCTGTTGTCATACAGTTCCAGATTTCCATTTGTCAAGCCCAGCTAAGAACTTCTTTAAGAAAGCTGCTGCTGCTCTTTTTGGTGGCAAAAAAGACAAAGCCAGATATATTGACACACATAGTAAGTTATGAGACTTCTCCCCTCTGATGTGTTGAATATTGTATTTAAATTCAAGAGGTTAGTTAAAAGAAGCTTTTATATTAGCATAATTTAGCTAGTATGTTTGTATACCATTGAACTTTGACATTTATAGCATAATAAATCCATACTGGAAACTGTCTGTTATCGATAGGTTTTTGTTTCTTGACCGTTAAAGTGTGCCCCTTGCGTAACTGCAGCTGCTGGCAATAAGATGCTATTTTTGCCTTGGATGCTCAAAAGCTGCTTAATAATGCAAGAGGAGAAAATATGGCTAGCTCTGTTTCTACCTTGATTGAGATAGAGTAATGCTCATAATTCTTTTCCTTGATTTACAGATAGAGTGTCTAAAGAAGATGAAGAAATTTACAAGCTTAGGCATGATTTGAAAAAGACTTCAATAACTCAGCAACCCAGCAAACATAGGACAGATGAGGTATGTTGGGAAAGAATAAAATGGACGTAAACACTACATATCATTTCCTTTCTTTGTTAATTAGCACGTAAACACTACATATCATTTCCTTTCTTTGTTAATTAGCACCTGGGCTGTGATTACCATGATTCAAGCATGTTCTATTTACTTAAAGCTTTTCTCGCAGCCCTTTGAAAGGAATGCCTGTGTCCGTTAGTTTAACAATGCATGCCATTGTGCCATTGAATTTCTGCACCATCTTTCATCTGGCTTGTGTCCATTGCTTTTTGATAAGCTTTCCCAGCAATTGCCACAATCTGATCTTAACCTGGAAGCCTCAGCCTTAAATGAATTTAGATACTTGACTCATTGCACGATTCTTCTCTCTTCTAAGGAGCTCCAGCCACCTACCACTACAGTTGCCAGATCTGGAACACCCGCAGTAGAAAACAAGCAGCAGATTGGGGATGCTATTCGCATGATAGTCAGAGGGACTCTTGGCAGCTGCAGCAGTAGCAGTGAATGTAAGTGGTTGTCATTCTTTTTTTAAATAATGAAACTATAAATGCCAGTGCTAAATACCAAGTGACTGAAGTCACTTTGTTCTGTAGCCTAATTTACATCAAAAAAGCAAAATTTATATTTTTCTCTGATTTTTCAGGCCTTGAGGACAGTACCATGGGGAGTGTTGCAGATACAGTGGCAAGGGTTCTTCGAGGATGTCTGGAAAACATGCCAGAAGCTGACTGCATTCCCAAAGAGCAGCTGAGCACATCATTTCAGTGGGTCACCAAATGGGTCGATTACTCTAACAAATATGGCTTTGGGTACCAGCTCTCAGACCATACTGTCGGTGTTCTTTTCAACAATGGTGCTCACATGAGTCTCCTTCCAGACAAAAAGTAAGTGTATCCATTGAATGAAATCCTGTTAGCCTTTAGTCTTGGGACTGAAGAAATCTGAAAAACAGCAACTAACTGCTGCTTCTGTTTATTTTTTCTCTTCTGTCCTTATCATTGCTGCTTTTTAGAACCGTTCACTATTACGCAGAGCTTGGCCAATGCTCTGTTTTCCCAGCAACAGATGCCCCTGAACAATTCATTAGTCAAGTGACGGTGCTGAAGTACTTTTCTCATTACATGGAGGAGAACCTCATGGATGTAAGTACTGTGGCTTTAGACCAGTGATACTTGAAGTGTAGTCCATAGTCCAGTAGCATCTGTATCACCTCGAAGCTTGTTTAGAAGTTCAGGTTCTCTTGTTCTACCCTAGATCTACTGAATCAGTATCTCTGGGAGATGGGGCCCAAAATCTCCAGGTGATTCTGATGCTTCCTAACGTTAGAGCCACACTTGCTTAGAAGAATTGAGCGCATAATGCAAAATCTTTCTAGGCATCAGCTAACTCTCTTAATGTCTTCCAGGGGGGAGATCTGCCTAGTGTTACTGATATTCGAAGACCTCGGCTCTACCTCCTTCAGTGGCTCAAATCTGACAAGGCCTTAATGATGCTCTTCAATGATGGCACCTTTCAGGTAAATGAATCTTTCAGGAAACTGAATGTTAATTTCCTGAAAAATAATTTTCACTTGGCCAGTGTAATTATTAGACTTTATTTTTCTATTTCTTGAATATTTTGAGAGATCTAATATCTACATTAATTCTTTTAAGGTGAATTTCTACCACGATCATACAAAAATCATCATCTGTAGCCAAAATGAAGAATACCTACTCACTTACATCAATGAAGATAGGATATCTACGACATTCAGACTGACAACCCTGCTGATGTCTGGCTGTTCATTAGAATTAAAAAATCGTATGGAATACGCTCTGAACATGCTCTTACAGAGATGTAATTAAAGGACTTTTTGAATGGACCCTATGGGATTTCTCTTTTCCACTGTGAGATCTACAGGGAAGCCAGTAGATGATCTACAGCATGTTGAAGAAGATGGATAGGAGGTGGTACGAAAACAATGCCTCTGTGGCCTGCTGGACTGGGTGGGACCAGAGCAGGCTGAAGCATACAATTCTTGACTTTGGACTAATCCAAGGGTGAACCAGGATGTAGTTTTTCTCAATATACCTGTTTTAAAAGGTTGTTCAGACGATTTTGCAGAAGGATGCATTGACTCTTAACTTCTCTCTGTAGAGAGCATTTCAGACAGAGGACTTGGAACTGTGAATATACTTCCTGAACAGGAGGGAGAAGGGAGGAAGCTCCCACGTTGTTTAAAGGCTGTAATTGGAGCAGCTTTTGGCTGCTTAACTGTGAACTATGGCCATATATAGTTTTTTTTTTTTTTGTTAATTTTTGAAGATATTTGTGGCTGGAAAAGTGCATTCCTTGTTAATAAACTTTTTATTTATTACAGCCCAAAGAGCAGTATTTATTATCAAAACTTTTTTTTTTTTTTATGTTGACCATTTTAAACTGTTGGCAATAAAGAGTATGGAAAAGCAGAAACTGATCTCCTGTGTTCAGTATGACCTATCACCGCATCACAACACGCTGATTCTTGGCTCTCTTCTGGCATGATACGAGTATAGAAGCACATGGACAAAGTTAAATCTTTAATTTTTTTAATCTTAATTGATGAGAAGTTCAATCATAAACTTAACGGGTATATCTAGCTTGAGAAGAGTGTAACAAGAATACACTTGTTACAATCAAAATATACGCCTCTACTAAATTAAAAACCAATTCCTCTCTGGAGAATTTTCTCAAAACTAGTTTAACTTGGAGCTGAAAACTGGAGTAATCCTGTGTAAACAAAAATCCAAAAACCAAAGTCATTGCTATTGAATTGATTCCACCTCATGGCAATTCTCATGCATTACAGAGTAGGAGGGCTCCGTAGAGTTGTCTTGGCTATAATGTTTATGGAAGCAGATTGCCAGGCGTTTCTCCCATGGTACCACTGGGTAGGTTCAGACTGCCAACCTTTAGGTTAGTAGATGGGTACAATTTGTGCCACCCAGGCATTGAAAGCTGGAATAAGCCTGTGTAAATAGACCTCTATCATTTAAGTGTCAGTAGGTACAGGAAGTTTATCTTAATATGGGCAAAACGCCACGTTATAATACTTGCACCACCTAACTATGTTACTCAACTTGAACCTGCCTAAACACTTCTAGTGCTGCTGGCATTACTAGCATATGATTCCAGTAGTGGGAAGTACTTTGTAAATAAGTCATTTTATTTTCCTCTGGTGCATGGTAGTTGAGAAGTGGTATGGGAACAAAGCTATGCTTTTAGGCTGCACTTTTTAAACTCTCAGATAATTTGAGAGGCAAGTATGAAAAGAGATTTTCTATTCCAGAGGGATCTACTCTTTGACACATGTAAAGAAAAGCTGCTCATCCTGTTACTCTGAACTTACAGTGACCTGCAAAAGATGCAAATAATTTTTTTTTTGTTAAATTCTAACCCCATTATAAGGAAAATAAGGTTCTGGGAAAGGAGCATTTGAGTTCATTAGGCTGTGTTTACACTGCACAGTGTAGTGTAGGGCTGGGGGCTGTACTTTAAATTCTGAGGCTGGTATACTTCATTCGCAAGGGCCAAAGTTGAGGAATTTTTTGTGGATATTTCACAGGCCCTAGATTAACTCTTAGATTGGAGTTCTCTGGCCATGTACACAGCTTCAGTCTGTGTTAAATGGCTTATAGTAATAGCTGAAGAAAACTGAATAATTGCACTGTAATAGCTGGATGTGCAGAAGTAGAATCTATTTTTATTCTTATGAGCAGAGAGGAAACAAGAGCTTGCAAATAGTAAAAAAATAATCATGATTTTCACACTGTAACATGGTACATTACTTCACAGTTTTAAAATATGCACTTAGCCATTCTTGTATGTACTGAATATCTACTGTGTGCCAGGTCCAGGGCACAGCATTGGAGATGGAGCGTGAACCAGTGCTTCTCCCTGCCCTCAAGGAAGTCACACTCCAGTGGAAGAGGTGGTACATTTACCTACCAGTCTGATAAGTGCTATGATACTATGCTTTAGGTATGCACTGGGTGTTCTGGGAAAAGAGAACAGGAATTATGAGGAAGGAGCCCCAGGCAGGTGGTGGACTCAGATAATAGAATTCAGAGAAGGAAAGGATTTTTTCATTGAGTTTTGAAAGATGTTGTTAGCTGCCATGGAGTCAGCCCCCGTGCACAGCTGAACAAAATGCTGCCCAGTCCTGTGCCACTGCCGTGATCGGTTGCTGACCAGGTCTTTGTGATCCACAGGGTTTCATTGGCTGATTTTTGGAAGTAGATCGCCAGGCTTTTCTTCCATGTCTGTCTTAGTCTGGAATCTCCACTGAAACCTGTTCAGCATCATAGAAACACACAAGCCTCAACTGACAGACGGTGGTGGCTGCATGTGGTATGATTTGGCTGGGAATCGACCCAGGTCTCCTGTATGGAAGGCGAGAATTCTGCAATTGAACTACCACCGCCCTCCCTCAAAGATGAGTAGGGCTTAAATAGAATTACGAGCTAGGATAGGGTGTTCTAAGCAGAGAGGATAACGTGTGCAAAAGCCCTAGCATGAGAGAATTCACTATAGAAGTAGGTAGGTAGGTCTGAAACATCGTAGATAAAGGCTAGAAAAGGTAAGATGGTGATGCATTCCATATACCACTCCAAGGCATTTGTATCTTGAAGGCAATGTGTAGCTAGTGAAAGATTTTAAGGAGGAACGTGACATAAATTCATTCTGAGGGCAGAAGGGATATAAATGGGGAGCAAGAAGGAGAAAGCTCAAACAGAAAAGGTAGTGATGTGATCCATGTGAGAAAGGACATGAGCCTTACTCGTGAGAAAAGAGCAAATAAAGAGCTAGGCAGGCGGTGGCTCCTTTGGCTGGCTGGTTCATTTCGGTATCTCCAGTGCCAGGCACCAGGCTGCGCCTGCATCAGTCAAGTGTTGAATGAATAAATGAGTAAATGCAGACAGATGTGGGGGAGGGGGACTTAGAATATTGATTTAACAGGACTTGGCATCTAATGGAACGTGGAACCTGAGAAAAAGGGCAATGGTTAGGATGATTGGCTGGGGCAGCCAATAGGGGAAAGGTGAAGTACTATGGTACCAATAACTGAAATAAATTGAGGCTATAGAAGGAAGAGCATCATATTTGGGGAAATATAATGAGCATAATTCAGGGCATGTTGAGTTAGCCCTGCATAGGGATACTTAAATAGTTAGGTCTAGAAAACAGTTAGATATACACATCCATATCTCAAGAGAGAGCTAGATTTGTGAGTAACGAGGTTCTAGATAAAACTGTGAGTTTGAGTGGATTTCCATGGTCCCTTCTATCCAGCAGCATTTTTTTGGAGGGGGGAGTATTGAGAATATCTACAACCTAACTGTGTTGACAAACCTTTGCAGTGGGGGAAGGGGAATGAAGAATCCCCAGTGAAATTAAACTCTTTCAAACAAAGGGACTCTGAATTCCATAAAAAAGGATTCCAGAATAACAGATGTATTTAATGAATAACTTTGATCCCCAAGAATGTTTCTCCTGTAGCCATTCCAAATCCTAATAGCTTATAGGGTGAGATAAAAGGTAGTCTTTAAAGATGTACCAGTTTTGACAAGTGGTAACAGCTACTTTCAGCTAAGCATGGTGTGGCCACAGCAGTAACCCGGGTTCCTAGTTAACTTCTCCTTTAAAAAGATATTTGGCATTTACTGCTTTTATAGCCTAGAGTCCCTGCGTGGTGCAAATGGTTAATGCAACTGGTTGCAAACCAAAAGGTTGTTGGTTCAAGTCCATCCACAGGAGAAAGGACTGGTGATGTACTTCCAAAAAATCTGCTATTGAAAACCCTATGGGGCAGAGTTCCACTCTGACACAAATGGTGTTGCCATGAGTCGGAGTCGACTTGACTTGACGGCAACTAGTGTTAGTACTATTATTTATATCTTGGTCCCCTCAACTCTTCGAGAACAATTTCTAAATGTAACATTATGTTTGCTAGGGAAGAAGAATTTTGCTATTATGTGCCCTCTAGTTGATTTCGACTCATGTTCTTGTTAGGTGCCATTGAGTCAGTTCTGACTCATGGCAACCCTATGTACAACAGAACAAAACACTGCCCGGTCCTGTGCCATCCTCACAATCATTGCTATGTTCAAGCCCATTGTTGGCAGTCACTGTGTCAATCCATTTCATTGAGGGTCTTCCTCTATTTTGCTAACCCTCTACTTTAACAAGCATGATGTCCTTCTCCAGGGACTGGTACCTCCTGATAACAGTCTGAAAACACGTTCAAAGTACATGAGATGAAGTCTTGTCGTCCTCTTTTCTACAGAGTATTCTGGTTGTACTTCTTCCCAGACAGATTTGTTCATTCTTCTGGCAGTCCATGGTATATTTAATATTCTCTGTCAACACGATAATTCAAAGGTGTCAATTCTTCTCTGGTCTTCCTTATTCATTGTCTAGCTTTCACACCTTAGTCTTCAAAGTAACATCCTTGCTTTTCAACATTTTACAGAGGTCTTTTGGAGCAGATTTGTCCAACTCAATACATTGTCTGATTTCTTGACTGCAGCTTCCATGGGTGTTGATTGTGAATTCAAGTAAAATGAAATCCTTGACAACTTCAATCTTTTCTCCATTTATCATAATATTGCTTATTGGTCCAGTTGTGATGAATTTTGTTTTCTTTATGTAAAGGTGTAATCCATACTGAAGGCTGTATTCTTTGATATTCATCAGTAAGTGCTTCAAGTTCTCTTCCCTTTCATCAAGCAAGGTTGTGTTGTTGTTGTTTTGTGCCGTGGAGTCATGGAGTCAGTTCCGACTCATAGCAACCCTATGCACAACAGAATGAAACAGTGCCCAGTCCTGTGCCATCCTCACAATCGTTGCTGTGCTTGAGCCCATTGTTACAGCCACTGTGTCAATCCATCTCGTTGAGGGTCCTCCTCTTTTCTGCTAACCCTCTACTTTACCAGGCATGATGTCCTTCTCCAGGGACTGGTCCCTCCCAATAACATGTCCAAAGTACGTGAGACATAGTCTCACAACTCTTGCTGCAAAGGAGCACTCTGGTTGTACTTCTTCCAAGGCAGACCTGTTCGTTCTTTTGGCAGTTCATTGTATATTTCATATTCTTCGCCAACACCACAATTCAGAGGTGTCAATTCTTCTTCAGTCTTCCTTATTCAACCTTTCTTATTCAACAAGCAATGTTGTGTCATCTGCTTATTGCAGGTTGTTAATGAGTCTTCCTCCAAACCTGATGCCAAGTTCCTCTTCATATAACTCACCTTATTGGCTTATTTGCTCAGCATACAGATTGAATAAGTATGGTGAAAGGATACAACCACAACACACACCTTTTCTGAATTTAAACTATGCCATATTCCCTTGTTTTTTTCATACAACTGCCTCTTGGTCAATGTATAGGTTCCCTATGAGCACAATTAATTGTTCTGGAATTCCCATTCTTC